CTTAAATTGCAAACCATAAATTCAAATTGTGCATCTGACCAACTGCTTTGGCTTGCAGGAGGAGGTCAAGCTTGCCCTCTTTGGCAGGCCTTGGCTTGCAGAAAGCCTGTGTTCAGCTACCCAGAAATTCTCCAAGTTTGGTTCTTCTGGCTTGTCAGGAGGTACCATGATTGAGTAGTCATGGTTGCTAATAGACTGGTTGGGAAGTTCAGTTTTTCCTATCACTTGAAATTATTGTTGGTATTCTTTCTTTGCTGGTATAGACAGCACAGGATACCTTCTAAATGAAGAGACTCATTGTGATCTACTGTTGGGCAAAGATAAGTAAGAATTTCTTTATGGTCAGCTCCAGGTCAGAGGTGTGGAGGAGGCTTGTTTGTAATCTGCCTTAGAATATTTTGTTTGTTCGTTTATCTGGTCTGCCTTGAAAACACATAGGAAATTTTTTAACATATCATAATATATGGTAAATATCACAGAGCCCCACCTGGATAGATATGACATTTCTTCATAAATCTATGAATACATATGTTTTAGAAAATAATCTCTTAAATTGGAAGCTATTTTTCCACTAAAATATATAGATTTTATACACCTGATGATTATTAAAATGCTCTTTAAAAGCCTGTGTCTACTGGAATTTCTTTGGGAAAAATAAAATATATATTAAAATGCACTATAGCTATAACATTCTGTGTTAAAGCAAGTTTTGTTAGTAGACAATATGTATCTGTATTCTTTGCTTATATCAAAGTCTTATTTTTTGTTGCATAGAATGATAAGAGGAAACTATTTAAACTATATAATAAATAGTTACTTAAAATTCTTTATGACTGGAACTGATGTAGTGACTTTGTGCCAAGAGCAATCCCTGGCAGTGGATGGGTCCTGCAGAGGATGTATGGAGTCAGCGGAGAAGGAAGTAAGCCAGGCCATGGTAGTCAGGAGAATCTTGCAGCCTGACTGACTAGCAGCCAGAGTGTTTCTTTATTTATGCAGAACTTAGTTAGAAAGGATACATTCATGATGTTCCAAAACATAGATCATATCATTTTTGGTTTGGAACATGTGTTTCACTTCCTTTTGCTCATCTTTTAGTCATCATTAATAAACTATGACAGAACAGAGTTATCATTTCCAATCATTTTCCCTCAAGTTTTGACATCATTAATAAACAGAGTTATCATTCTTACTCATAAACCCCATAACCCAATTTTTGAGAATCTAGAGGCATATGACAGCCTGTGCTCAGGCTGGTTGTTTTGGTTGCTTCAAGGACACTAGACCAAAACAAAAATCTTCAACCATCCTGGGCATTTTGCCATGTCTCAAGCAATGTATTATTAACTCCTAGTGGTCAGAGTACCCAGGAAAAATCCTCAGGCTAAAGCTGCTGCAGTTATTATTCAAATTTTGGCATAATACAATCAATGTTTGCATTTATATCTTTATAGAATTTGTCTATATATCTAATCCTGGCATTCTGCTGTTCCTTGGTCATATGACATTATAGTGGCTCTACATGAGCTAACTTCTAAGAGAGGGAGGTCCTAACATCTCATACTTTTATCATCTTTCCACTCCATACTTTGCTCATCAGTATGTCTCTATATAGGGCAGAGTTGTATGTCACGTAATTTTCTGAGTGTACAGTGGGAAGAGGCTTATAATCTGAACTGTGGACAATTCCTCTAGCCCACTGAATTTTGTTGACCTTTTTAAATTTACTTTGTTTTGACTATCTTATTCCAGTGTAAGTGCAGGGAGAGATGTTTCAAGAATGTCTCATAGCCTCATGAAGAGACCTCTGGCTTCTTCTTTATGTGTCACAACCTCCAAGGCATAAGGAAGACCTTCAAGTAGATAAGGATATCTCCCTCAAAGTGTGTGGGGAGGGGGAGGGGGGAATAGTATGTTCAGGACTTTCCTGGGTAAGCTTAGAAGCAGCATTCCTTGGAGAAGGCATAAATGATTCATAAGGAATTTTCCATCAATCCAACATCCTCAAATTGCACAAATATTAAAAGTGCCCCAAGTATGTAACAGGTGGAGATGAAAACCAAAGGTGACATGGCAGCCATCATGTGGCTCAGCTCTGCTGGATCTTTGTCGAGCAGCTGTGCTGGCTCTATGACTTCTGCCATTCCATTCAGATATGGCTGTGCCAACTTTGTAACTGTGCAACCCAGCCATCTTCAGCTCAGTATTTTTGTTGTGTGTACATGGCCTGCAAAGCAAGAATAGAAATTGCACATGTTTTATAGCTAAAAAAAACTGAGTCAAAGACTAGGCATGCTAACACACACCTTAATTCCAGCACTCTGAAGTCAGAGGCAGGCAGATCTGTGTGAGTTCACTGCCAACTTGGTCTACATGGCAAGTTCAGGACAGCTACATACAGAGTGAGGTCTGCGCGAGGTGAGCCAAGCCTTTGCAGAGTACTGCTGCCACCCCTTGGGTTCTGCAGAGTATGACACATGTTCGTACTTGGCCAGGTTCAGCTCAGGCACTTTGCAGTCAGCAAAACATTGTTTCTTCTAATCATCCTATTCAAGACCCTACAGATCTGTGACCTCACTCCGTGTCAATAATAAACAGTGTAATCTGTCAGCATATTTTATGGCCAATGAGAAATGCTTTATTATAACAAAATAAATCTGCTGAATTATTTTTAAAATAATGTCAGGGGCCTGGAGAAATGACTCGGTGGTTAAAACACTTGCTGAGCAAGCAGGAGAGTAGACTTGAGATCCCCAGAACACAAGTGGATGTAGTGACCACCTGTAATCCCAGACTCAGGGAGACAGATACAGATACGGTCCCCAAAGCAAGCTGGATGGGGAGGCCAGCCCTATCTATATACTCTAGGTCTGATTGGGAGGTGGACTGAGAACAATTCCCAACATCAAGCTCAGGCCTTCACACACAAGTTTATACACTTGTACATACATACTACATACCACATACGTAAAAAATATTGCCAGATCTAGATGTAAACCGTATCAAAGAATTTAAGTCAAAAAGGTACATTACCACTAAGAGATAAAAATGAAAAAAAAAACTGACAGGAGAAGGAACATGGATTTGTCACAAAAGCATCTAGCTAAGTGGCCAGCAGAATATCAAAGTTAGGATGACTCCACTTCCTCTGATGTTCTGGAAGACTGTAGATCCGTGGTCTCCAAGCTGGATGAAGAGTCCAGAAGTGGAGAAGAGTTTTAACAGCAGGTGCAAAGTAGAATTAGTCATAATGGGAATATCCTGTGCCGTGAGTGTGGCGGTGTTTACATGCTGATATGAATTTCTCCAAACTCCACAAAGGGTGCACTTTACTGTCAGAAGATCGGGCCTCAGTGGGTCTGACTTAAAGTCTTGTGTTAATACTGGCCAGCATTTCTTGTGGATAGAAAGGATAATGTGTTTCTGTTTCTTCCTCTGAAGTGTCTTTATATGTGTAAAAACAAAATTTTAGAGATATTCCTCACACAGCAATAAATAAGTTACAAACAAAAGACGCTGGACTCCGAGGATTGGCTGAGCTTGACATGAGAGTTGCAGAACATGGTGGCAGTGAGGAAAACTTAAAGGATTAATGTTTATAACTTCATGTGTTTTGTTTTATATTTGAGATTCTAATAAAATTACATTGTTTCTTCCCTTTTCGCCTCCCTCTAAGCCCCCTCTATACCCCTCCCCACTTCCCTTCAAATTCATGGTCTTTGTTCACTAATTGTTATTGCATGCATGTATGTGTAGGTATGTAAATATACATTCCTAAGTATGACTTGTTCATGCCTTTTAGTGTATGTATGTTTTCAGGTATGACCGTTCTTAGGACTTGGTTGTCCAAATCTCATGGACCACAGCCAGTTAGCTGAGAAGGGGTGGTGCCAGAGTAGGAGAGTTTATAGTTTGACCATCAGGCAGAGGCTCTTGAAAACACAACTCTGACATCTTGTCAAAGTCATAATAAATGCAAAATAGTAGTTATACATAAGCTAACTACTCATTCGATCTGTAATATTTTACTGAGTGCTGGAATTTCCAGTGAAGCACTATAGTTAATTAAAGGAGTTCAAGACCTAACAAGAAAAAAACATTCCTATCATCACGAAACTAGCAAGATTATACAAATAAATTTAAAGGTTAAATAAAAATATTTATTTAAGGAGGAAGCAGTAAAAATTAGATTTAATTAAAGATAGTATGAGAGCTGGATGTAGTGGTGCATACCTTTAGTCCCAGCACTTGGGAAGTAGAAACAGGAAGATCTCTGTGAGTTCATGATCAGCGTGATCTACAAAGGTAGTTCTAGGCCAGCCAGAACTACACAATGAAAAAAGGAAAAAAAATAGTATGAGAGAAGTGAGAGGAGGCATAACTGAAACAAGACCGAGATAAATTGATAGTTGTACCTTAGCTTTGGACACATGGTAATGCATTTTACTGTTTTCTCTATTAATATTTATGATCACATATTTCATACAATATATTTTAAATGCAAATTGTTACTTACATAGAGTTGATAATAAGACAATGTGGTACCATATGTAAGAAGTAGGTAAGAGTGAGCCGGGCGGTGGTGGCGCACGCCTTTAATCCCAGCACTCGGGAGGCAGAGCCAGGCGGATCGCTGTGAGTTCGAGGCCAGCCTGGGCTACCAAGTGAGTTCCAGGAAAGGCGCAAAGCTACACAGAGAAACCCTGTCTCGAAAAACTAAAAAAAAAAAAAAAAAAAAAAAAAAGAAGTAGGTAAGAGTGAAGAAAGTATGGTACTGGGCACCGAGAAAGACGATGTTCTGAGAAAAAGGGTAACAGCAGTGTTGCCAGGCACAGACGTCACAGCGGTTCCCTTCACAACAGATCACTACTTTGCTTGGATATTCTTGAAACATTGGGGAAAACTGCTTTGAATGAGCTTTCTCATTAGGTGTTTGTCCCTGAAGGAAAATGTCTGGTTTCCTTTTCTTATATGCAAATATCTGTTTGATTTTTTTTTAGGAGACTAATGAACAGAAACTTCACAAAATAGCCAGTGAACTTTTGCTCACCGAAAGAGCGTATGTCAGCCGGCTCGACCTCTTAGATCAGGTATCAGTTTGTGGTTAGCCCTCGCTCTACCCTAGGAACCGAAGCATCTCAGGAACTGCAGTGCGGGCCTGACTGCTTTGGATGGTGAAAGTTACTTGCTTTAAGGAAGTGTTCACAGCCTCATTGGTAAATTTGCTGAATACAAAGTGTTTGCAAGTCGTGAGAGTATAGGTTTTTATATATATAAGTCACAGAATGACTGTGTTCCATAATGTCATACCTTGTTCTTCTTTCTTGACCATTTATCATGTTTTAGGAGGCCATGTTAATGACTAAAATTTAAATAGGTTATTGGTGGTTACTTCAGTGACTCATCTGTCTTAATATGTCACTGAAGTAGCCACAATAACCTATTTAAATTTTAGTCGTTAACATGGCCTCCTGAAACACATGGTCCTTGACACACCTTATCTTTGGTTCTCAAGGTCAGCCATATACTAGTTGTATGGATTTTGTGAAACCACTTTAAAATAGTATTTTGTGAAACAGTGAAGTTGTAGTTCAGGTTATCGGTGTCTAGAAACTTTACAATGAGACAGAATCAATCCCTGTGGAATTTGAGCCTTTAAGATAGCTTTTCTTCCATATGGGAAATACAGTCTTGGAATGAGTAAGTGCTCCCATGGTGGGTAGAAGTCTTTTCTTCTAGGCAAGTTCAAGATGTTTTGTTTTGCCAGCTATCTTTGCAGTACATTTACAATGTACAGAAGATCCCTGAACACACAGAGAAGTGTTCAAGTTATCATGGATTATTATTTATTTAAAAACAAATTGAAATCTGAGAACAAAAAGGATCTTGTTTTTGTTGCTTTGCTGTTGTTCTCTCATGGTCCAGATGTTGAGCTGTTCTCCTATGGGACCTTTCAAGATACAGAGTATAACAGGAAGTGAGAGCTGTCGGCCAGCCCCTGCACCCTATTACCTTTTTGTTGCTAGGATACAAACCCTGACAGAAACAAACTAAGGAGGGAAGGGTTGTTTTGACTCACAGTTCAAGGCAAGGGCACAGCTGCAGTGCTGGGCAGGTCAAGAGGACCGGAGCTTGATGAAACTAGTCACACTGTACCAGAGTCAGGAAGCAGAGAGCGCTGGTGTGCAGTGCTGCTCAGCACCCCTCCCCACTGATTCCAAGATCCCAGCCAGAAAATGCTACTACCCCTGTGGGCATGTTGCCTCTCTCAGTTACTGCAATCAAGATGATTGCCCACAAACATGTTCGGAGCCCCGTGACAAGTTGACAATTAACACTAACCAATACACACAGTAAGGACAATGTATAATTGCTATAGACGTCATTCAGACATAGTAAGTGAAAACTATCACACTGTACACGTAATAAAATCTTTTCACGTCCCTTAATTATAGCCATAGATGAGAAGTGTAAATCCATGTCAGTTGGAAATTCTCTGGCACAGAAAAGCTCTATTAGCTATGTACCTTAACATCCTGTAGAAGTTAAATAAATACCATATAGGTAGGGGCATAGTTTTAGTTATAAACAAATCTTCCTAATTTACATTTAAAATTCTTCAAAAATCAAAACATATTTCCTCCTACATTTCAAGTGATTGATTTTTTAAGCCACAAGCTTCCCCATTTATTCAACAAGGTGTGTTGTTTTGCCCAGTGCAGGCCTACCACAGTGAAAATCGATTAACCAACATATCTAAAGTAATATTTGCTTTATTCTTTTACTCAGGTATTTTATTGCAAACTATTAGAAGAAGCAAACCGAGGCTCATTTCCTGCAGAGATGGTGAATAAAATCTTTTCTAACATTTCATCAATAAATGCCTTCCACAGTAAATTTCTATTACCAGAGCTGGAGAAGCGAATGCAAGAATGGTAAGATGGAGACGCAGGGCTACTGTGCCTAAGACATGCATGTAGGATGCTGCTTTTCAGCTTTTAAAGTAGAGCAGATGCACCACACACTGCTACAATTAGTATAGTACCAGATCTTTACATAAAAATGACTGGTAGATGCTGGACTCTATTCTCAGGATTTTGGGAATAGTCTTTGGCGTCTGTTCTCTAAATGGTGTTCTGACTAGTGAAGACAGGACTGGTGTGATTGGCAGCTCCAAGAGCTCCATAGCCTCTTTCTGCAATTCCTAAGCTCCCTTCTGAAAGCTGTTTCTTGTTAGTGTTAGAGCAAAGTGAGTATGTAAAGCAGATCATATGGAGTGACTATTCTCTCTGCAGGCCTATTGATTTCCTCATTCTATAAGAAACTTGAATGATGTTTTTATATTTAATACAGGGAAACTACTCCCAGAATTGGAGATATCCTGCAAAAGTTGGCGCCATTCCTTAAGATGTACGGAGAATATGTGAAAGGATTTGATAATGCGGTGGAACTAGTTAAAAACATGACAGAGCGTGTTCCCCAGTTCAAATCAGTGACTGAAGAGATTCAGGTAAGAGGTCACTTTCCTTCCTGGTCACAGTTAAATTTTTCAGAATTATTATTATAATTATATGGCCTTTAAGATCTAAAATTGAGATGAAAGTATTTTTCTAAGAAACTTAGCCAAAATTCATTCTCCTCTAAATTCTGCAAAAATAGTATCTGCACAATTAAAACAGTTAGTTACTGAGCCCATGCCACCTAGTAAGTGGGAGAAAATGCTCAGTGTGCATTGCTTTTAAACGTTTTATTTAAAATATGCTTACAGCATTTCCCCTCTCCTTGTATGTCCCTCCATCCCCTTCTATGTCCCTCTTTACTCCCTCTCAAATCCATTGCCACTTCTTTGTTATTATTACATATATATAAATGCATACACACACATCACACACATGTACACATGCACGTACACTACCTATTGTTCAAGTCTTGTTTAGGCAGGCATATTGTTGAGGTTTCACAGATGAAGCATCCCTGACATTTCTATGAGACTTAGTCTTCCAGAAGACTTTGTGACCCTCTGGCCCATACAGTTATTCCACTCCCTCTTAGTGATGTTCCCTTAGCCGTAGCTAAGAGATTGTACTGTGGATATATCCACTGGGGCTGGGGCCCATACAGCCGGTTCTGTGATGGTTTCCATCTGCTACAAAGAGAAGCTTCCTTGATCATGGCTGAGAGCTACACTTATGTATGGTTATAAGGACAGGTATTCAGAATTCTGTTAAGATTTGGGCTGCTTTAATAAGTGGCAATAGTAAGTTCTCCTCCAAGACATTCATGACAGCACTAGCCATGAGTACTTGCCTACATTTCCTCCTGCTAATAGCCTCAGGTCCAATTAGATACCTATTGGTTACCTTTAAGATATGGTCACCTCTGTTGGACTTCTAAGGACATCCTACCATGCTGGTCATTTTTGTGGTCCATAGGTATTACACCTGGAAAGGATGATTGAGTGCTACCCCGCCCCCACCAGATTGCAAAGCATGTAGGCTACTCCACAGTGTAGTACCAGTAGGTACTACATGTAGTACCAGTGTAGTACCATGAAGGCTAGTCCACAGTGGGGAGGTCATTAGGTCAAATCCATCTTGACTCCCCTGAGTCCTATGTCTGAAGTGTGGTATATTCAGCAATAAGGACCTATTCTCAAAATCTAGAAAGTAAGCAACAGCAACAGCAATAGTCCATATAAAGTTTGGGAGTCTCTTGGACTCATCCAACCTACAACTCAAAAGGAGGTTTCTCATGCCTGATACTGGAGGCATTGTTAAGTAGTGTGTGGCTCTTGCAAGGAGCATTATCACTCTATGTCATAACTTCATTAAAACTATATACATATATGTATGCATGTATATATATTACATATAATTTTAGAAAAATACAAAATGATATCATTTCTTATGAGTTTTCAAAACATCCTTAGTATTATTTGTCTCTCTTCTCCTTTTCTATTGGTATCCTTCCACTCTCTCCAATTAAAGCCCCCCCCCCATTTTCCCATTTCTCCCTCATATCAGCTCTATCCTGCTATTCCCTCTCCAGTGCTGCTCTCCCGACTCAGTGGTCCCGTTTTACGTCCTGATTCCTTCAGTTATCCCAGGTTATTTGCTCACATCTGAAGATGTGGAATTAAGAACCACGAGTGAGAGAGCACATGTGGTGTGTTGGGTCTCTCCTGGTCTGGGCTATATCCCTCAATATAATGTTCTCTACTTCCAACCATTTACCTAAAAATTTCACTTTTCTTTATAGCTGAATGGTGTAGATGTACCACATTCTCATTATCCATTCATCAGTTGAAGAACATTTAATTGTTTCTGTTTCCTTGCTATTGTGAATAGAATGGCAATGACTACAGCTGAGCAAGAATCTGTGGGATAGGATGTTGAGTCCTTTGGGCATATGCCAAGGAGTGGTATAGCTGGATCATGGGTAGATTTTAGCTTTCTGAGAATTCGCCACAGTGATTTTGAGAGTGGTGGCAGCAGTGTACAGTCCCACCAATAGTGATTAAGGTGCCCATTTCCCTACATCTTCTCTAGTCTTTGTGGTTCATTATTCTATTGATCTGAAACATTCTGCCTGCCCAGTTCCATAATTGCTAGGGATGATGAAAATTTTTTTGAGATTTTTTTTTTTGCTGTCTTTATTTCTTTTTTGAGAATGCTGCTCATATCCCAGGCCTGTTATTGAATGAGTCAATTGTTTTCTTGTTTTCACAGTTCATTATATAATCTGAATATTAATCCTCTATCTGATGTATACATAACAAAGATTATCTACCACTCCATGGGCTCCCTTGTTGTTGTATTGTTTCCTTAGTTGCACAAAAGTTTTTTAATTTTATGAAGGTCCCATTTGTCAGTGGTTGGCCTTAATCCATGATAAACATAAATAGAAAAAAAACTCAATAAAATAATTATAAGTGAATTTAGGTATATATCAAAAAGAGTATTCACTGTGATCAAGTTGGTTTTATCTCAGAGATATAGGAATGTTTCAACATACATCAATAAATTTAGTAAACTGTATAAATGGACTTCAAGACAAAAATCACATGATCATCTCTTAGATGTATTAAAGGCCTTTGCAAAATTCAACATACTTTCATAATAAAAGTCTTAGCTAGATTAGGACTAGGGGGAACAGGTCATAAAATAATGAAGGCTAATTGTAACAAGCTCATAGCCAACATCCTCCTAAATTGAAAAAACACTTGACGCAATCCCATAAAAATTGGGGACCAGACACAGCTCTCCATTCTCCCTGCTCATTTTCAATGTACTGCTCAAAGCATTGGCTGGAGGAATAAGACAAGAAAAGGAAATAGAAAAAGAAATCAGATTATCCCTGCTTATAGATGATTTGCTATTATTATGTGTAGGAAATTCCAAAAATTCCACTAGAAAACATATAGAATCAACCAACAATCTCAACAAAGTGGTAGAAATCAAAATCAACTTACAAATATTAGTAGCCTTTCCATACAACAAAAACAATATGCTGAGAAGGAGATCATGAACATGCTCCCATTCACAATACCCTCCAAAAAAATTAACCGAGAAATAAGCTTAAGCAAGGAGGCAAAAGACCTCCACAACTAAAACTTCAAATCTCTGAAGAAAGAGATTGAGAAACACACCAGATAACAGAAAGACCTTCCATTCTTATGGGAGGGAGAATTAATATTTTGAAAATGACCATCCTACCAAAAGCAATTTACAGATTCAGTACAATCCTCAAAACATTTTTTCACAAAAACACAAACTAAATTCTAAAATTCATGTGAAACTACAAAAGACCCCATATAGCTGAAGCAATCCTGAAGAAAAGAACAGTTCAGGAGGAATTACCATTCCAGATTATAAGATACATTACAGAGCTGTAGTAACAAAAACAGTATGGTACTGGCAAAAACAGACATACTGAATAAAATAGAAGACCCAAAAATAAGGATACATATTTATAACAATTTAATATTTAAAAAAGATGGTCCCCCTCCCCCCAAAAAAAGATACTGGAGGAAATACAACATCTTCAACAAATGGTGCTGGGAAAACTGGATATCCACATATATAAGAATGCAATTAGGACTCCAGTTTATTGCACAAAAATCATCAACTTCAAATGAACCAGAGACCTCAGTGTGAAGCATTTTTCTGATACTCTAAAAGAAACATGGGTAGTACCCTAGAAGGTATAGGTGTAAAAATGACATTCTGAATAGGACTTAATTTGCTTTTGAAACTAGCAAAGGTTAGCCTTTTAGAGTCTGTCTTAGTCACTGTCCTTTGGCTGTGAAGAGACTCCATAACCAAGGCAACTCTTATGAAAGAAAGCATTTAAGTGGAGGCTTGCTTACAGTTTCAGAGGCTTAGTCCATTGTCATCATGGCAGAGAGCATGGCAGTGGGCATGGCAGGTATGGTGCTGGAGAAGAAGTTAGATTAGGAGGTGTGGCCTTGTTGGAGGAAGTGTATTAATGGGGGTGGGCTTTGAGGTTTCAAAAGCTCATGCCAAGCCCAGTATCTCTCTCTCTCTGTCTCTCTGTTTCTCTCTGTCTCTCTGTCTCTCTCTCTGTCTCTGTCTGTTTCTGTCTCTCTCTGTCTCTCTCTCTCTGTCTCTCTCTCTGTCTCTCTGTCTCTCTCTCTGTCTCTGTCTGTTTCTGTCTCTCTCTGTTTCTGTCTCTCTCTGTCTCTCTCTCTCTCTGTCTCTCTCTCTGTCTCTCTCTCTCTCTCTCTCTCTCTCTCTCTCTCTCTCTCTCTCTCTCTCTCTCTCTGTCCCTCTCCCTCTCTCTTTGTCCCTGCCTGCAGATCAGGGTGTAGCTCTCAACTTCTTCTCCAGCACCATACCTGCCATGCCCACTGCCATGCTCTCTGCCATGATGACAATGGACTAAGCCTCTGAAACTGTAAGCAAGCCTCCACTTAAATGCTTTCTTTCATAAGAGTTGCCTTGGTCATGGTGTCCCTTTACAGCAATAGAATAATAACTAAGACATAAGTCTACATAAGTTTATCACATGTGGTAGGCCTATGCATGTAATTCTATCACATAGGAGGCTGAGGAAGCAGGATGGCAAGTTTGAAGCCAGTCTTGACTACCTAATAAGAAGGAGTCTCAATAAATTAGTAGATGAATAGTTATTCACAAAATGAGTTCCAAGTTTCTTCTTATTCCCCCTTCTTTCAGTGGCTGAAATCCAAAGAGAAAATGGATACATTGCAATGAAGCCTAATTTTTTTTTAGTCACTGTATATCTGCATACAGGTTTGCCTCCATTTCACCAAGCCTATATAATAAATTTTAATAATGCCATAATCATTTCTGTTAATTCTGTAGTGGGTATTCAAACTTGTAGATTACTGTTTCAATATGTGAAATAGAATTCTACACATCACATATTGCTTTTGTGGCTAGAATTCTATGGAATTCTGTGACTCTTCTGTCTTTTATGTTACATGAATAGATTTTACAGTACTATTTTTATTCCTTTTATTTTTAA